CGTCGAAACGGAAAGCTTCATTTCGACGCGACCACCACCACCACCACCACCTTATTCCGGATATGTTCGTAAATCAGATTTTAAGACGTTATCAAATTTGCATAATACACGGTTCAGGACGCTCTTGAACAAGATTCAGGCGCCTCCGCCGCTTTCCAAATTAAATGCGGCTAGCGTGGCTCGAATGTCCCAGAAAGTTTGTTAGGTCTCGAGAATATGTTACTCGCGTGAATTCAATCAGATAATTTCATGCGATATACACCTTGATTAGGAGTTCTTATCTTAATAACTTTGAGAAGTAGCCCCTCTCTCTCTCTCTCTCTCTCGCTCTCTCTCTTCTGGCATATGAAAAAGAAATTGGAATTTAAAATTCAAACATTTCGTGTCATAACAGGAATAATAATGCGATAAAACCGACGAGCAACAGTAACCAGTGCGATGACATTCGATCCTCGCGCAGTTTTCTGTTTTTCTTGCCGTTTATAATCGTTCGCACGACTTCTTCTACTTAAAGCCACTTGAGGCTACCATTTATAAAGTCTGGCAAGTTCTCCTCCTCGCAGCACATCGTGTGAAACTACCGCGTGCTTTTCTCTCTCTTTTTCCTCTTATCCCATTCATAAAGCAGGAGATATTGAAAAAGAAATGGCAAGAACAATTTCGCTTTTGCTGGCGAGGGGGGGAAAAAAAGAGGAATAGAGAAAGAGAGAGAGAGAGAGAGAGAGATTCTCTCTCGCTGGAGAAAGAATTCACCTGCTGATCTAAGTCACCATTTGTATTGTCCGCGTATATTGCGGGCACATGTGGCTCATAAAATCGTATCGCGTCCAGCCGTTTCCATTCGAAGATATTTCTGTGCGCGCACGCGGATAAAAACAAATATGAATGGCAGCGATACCGGCGGCAACGTTATACGCCATCCACGACCGCGTCGTTTAAAAGGTTAATGTCGATATTCCAACGAATGTAAATAAACATTTTTAGCGACACTCCGCGAGCTGATCATTCTGGCGAATCGTAGAAAAAGATCAGGAATTACGAGAGGGGGAAAGGCGATCGAAAGACGGAATCGTCGACGCACTTTTATACGTTCCTTTTTCTCTCTTTTCTCCCCTTTTCGAACGCGTTCTTTTTACTATTTGATTAAAATTGTTTAATTAAAGACGCCCAGAGGAAGCAGTTTGTCTCTCCATTGAGTTCGACGATAGTAAAAGAGCGGCATCCGCACGAGAAACAACATTGCCTTTCGTTGTTTGTTATCTATCCATTTCATCATTTCGCAACAAGAATCTTACCTAGAAATGCAACGCGAAACGGACGCACTAAATTATACCGTCAGGTGGAGTTAGCACGAAGAGATTCGTGTATAAGAAATCCTCAAGGTCGCTTCTTTGCACGGATGGATTTTACGGGTTTTAGTGTTCAGCAAATAACATTTGCCGCTTAGTTTGGTATACGAATATGGTTTGCCGTTTAGTGGCTGATGTATTGATGCAAAAGCCAGCCGTGTTTGGACAGCATCTACTCGGTGGAAAAAGCGAAATGGGTTTACCGGTTATATGCTGTTTTGACCGCAAAAACCGACCAGTTTCTACAACAATTGAAGCAACTGGTCGCAAAATCGCCCTTCATTATTCAGCTCTCTCAGCGAAAGAGCGAAATGTTGAGTATCTTTTTTTCGGCAATTTTAACTTTTCCGCTCTTCAATTCTGCAATTCTGCAATTCTGCAATTCCACGGTAAACGACTCGGAAAGTCCAGTACCCAAATTTTACTGTCTCCGAAAATAGGAGATTCTTCCTAAATTCTTTCATATCAAACAATATACTATATACATATAAATAAATGTAAAAATAAAAAAACAATCAACTTCAAATGCATTCGCATTTGTTAAGCTTGCAATTTGCGTAAACCTCAACGTCCGTAATTTCTCAAGAGCTTATTCCAAAAGCCTCCGTAAACGTAAATGGCGCAGAGACGAAAAAGTAACTTGACACACACATCTATACTTAATACAGTGGCTCGGGAAGAGACCCTACAACTTTGCTCTTTACGAGAAGTCTTCGCGACGGTGGTCTCGTTCGTAAAGTTAACAACGTGGATGCAGGTATACTGTGTTTGTGGAACGGCCATCTCTCACGCGTGTAGCCGTGCTCGCTCGGCAAAGCGGGTTCTCTCGGCTCGAAGGTCGGACACTTTCGAGCGTCGAGCACGGATTCCCGGCATCAGTGCTCGAAAAGAACGGCAGAGAGGCGGATACTTACATCTTGTAGTGGTGCTGCATGTGGTGACCGACTAGGTGCATGTCGGTGGCGTGCTGCTGTTGCTGCATCTGCTGGTGCTGCTGTTGTTGCTGCTGCGGCTGGTGCATACCCTGATGATGGTGAGTCTGCGGGGGGTCCAGGCTGGATGCACCCAGCAGGGTAGCGCTCTCCCTGAACAACGTTGCCACCTGCATCCTGGCTCTGTCGTTCGCGTTCTTGCTTTCACCGGAAGTGATCCGCCGTCGGCCGGCGTCGCGGTGTCGCACGCGTTATTCCTTCTGTACCCCCGTGCCTTTACGTCGCTTCTTCACCGTCGCTTAAATCAAGGACGGCTTGCTCCGGGATTAAAACGGATCTAGGTAATCCCTGCGTAACGTGAATACGGTTTCTTCGTGACGATGAAAGTCTACCGTACGTCCCTACGCGTTTCACGGCTCGGGATCGATACCCGGCTCCGAGATCCTTCGAAGGTGATTATTAGGATCGCGGGTAGTTTCCGAGAAAGGTTCTTCGGATCGCGTGATCGCGGAATAATTGTGGATCTTTTGCGAGTCTTTCGATTACCACGACCGTGAGGGGTGATCAGGGTAAATAATATCCCTTACTGTCTTTTAATTTCTAGAATCGTGAATAATCACAGGATGCGACGTCCAGTCTGTAGTGACAGCGGTTGAAGAATAGAATTATCAATTACTCGAATACGACTATCGTTCGTTTCTCTACCGAATCCCCCCCCCCCTTCCTCCCTCCCAACAACAATGGCTTGCAGAGAACGTGCCGTCGGCACTTGAAAAGCGCGGCTTTTCACGTTCCTTGCTTCACGAACACCTGATTCGGAATAACACCTGATTAACGATCGCGGCGTACACGCCGCGGCCAGCGGCACGACGACGCTCGTCGACGGCCACCGTCGCGGCGGCAAAACTGACGTCGATGACGACGCGGCGAGAATCTCTTTCTCTCTTTCTTTTACTCTCTGTTTTTCTCCCTCTCCCTCCCTCCCTCTCTCTCTCTCTCTTTCTCTCTCTCTCTCGCTCTCCCCCTCTCCCTCCCTCCCTCTCGGTGAACCCCGAGAGTCGAGAACTCAGTCGAGACCCCGAGAAGTCGTCATCGTCGTTACCCTCGTCGTAACGACCGTCGGCGACGTTACCAGCATCCTCTCCGCGAGACCGCGATCGCCAGCCGGAACGCCTCCGCGCCGACAGGCCGGAAGCCACAAAAGTCTCTCAGCTCTCCTCTCTTTCCTCTCTTCTCCTGGGCCCACTCGCGTGCGCGCGCGCGGCCTGGGTCCGCTCGCACTAACACACACTCACGAAAGGCGCGGACGCGCACACAACACGCGAGCCGCACACGGGATCACTGGCCGCGCGGATGTACTTCGTTTGGGATTGGGAGCTTTCTTTCTCGGAGGAGTTTCTCTCCCCTCGGCCTTGCGTGCGTCCTCTCCTTCTCTCTCTCTCTCTCTCTCTCTCTCTCTCTCTCTCTCTCTCTCTCCCCGCTTCCCACCGTTCTTCTCTTCTGCCTCACTACGTTTATATTATCGTCCCTTCACCCGCGACACAATGCCGCCTCAAATTCACGCACTCCGTGTCGTCTGTCATGTTCTCGCCGCGGCCGTCGCGCGCACCTTTTGAATTACGCGCACCGCCCGCCGCCGTCTCTCGTCGCACCGTTGTAGCCGTCGATGCGGTGCGGTGCGGTGCGGTGCGGTGCGGTATGGTGTGGTGCACCCACGCCCCGCTAAATGCAACCGCGCGCGAGGGTGGTTGGCGCGTTATCGTTAGTGGTTCTCGCGCTTCTCACGGCGTGTGCGTGCCGGTCACGTCGCGCCAAGCACAACGACACTGCGCGCCGCGACGTTTCTTACGATGACGTCTCTCCGCTCTCCGCCGTCGACTCTCCGTCGAGCGATGTTCGTGCCGATAACTCGCGATACCTCGCGATACTACGCCGAACGATATCACGAGCCGAACAGCAGGCGTACCGTGTACGTATTCCACCGTGCGTATACTCGCACCGTCTCGCAGTGCTGCGTGAAATCTTCCTGCGAGAGGGACTTGCTCGACGCAACACGCGCGTACACGAACCGTGTTTCACGGACGACTCGCAGACTTCTCCGTCGCTTTTTGCGTTTCTCCTCTGCTCTCACGAGTGCCTCTCCTCTTTTTCTCTCTCTCTCTCTCTCTTTCGAGTTCTCCTGCCCTCGCCTCCGCGGCGCAAACTCTCCCTGTCCCTCTCTTACTCTCTCTCTCTTTCTCTTTCTCTCCCTCTCGTCGTGTAAACACGCGCGCACACACACACCGCAGAATCTGTAACCGCGGCAGCAAGAGTCGGCACCGCACTGCTCGACCGTATCGCTCGCTCGGCCGCTCGAACCGCACCGCTCGTACGTTTCCGTTGTTGCTCGACGACGTTCGGTCGTGTTCGGGTTCGAAGCCTCACGACGGTGGAGGCGGTGGAGGCTTTCGTGGCGGTGATGGAGGCGGCGGCGGCGGCGGCGGCTGTGGCTGGTCCGGCATAGTCTGTCCTTTTCTACTTTCCACTCACGCCGATCTGCGTCTCTCTCTCTCTCTCTCTCTCTCTCTCTCTCTCTATACCATTAAACTCTCACCCTCCTTTCCCTCTTCCTTCCCTCTCGCTCCTCAAATGTACTTCTCCGTTTCTTCCTCTTCCTCTCTCTCCCACGCACGTGCGCTTCCTCTCTCTCTTTGTCGCTCGTCTTCCCTCCTTTTCTCCCACGATCGTTTCATCTCCTCTTCTCCTCCTCTCTCTTCTCGTCCGTCACACTCGTCCACCTCCCACACCCACCGCCCTCCTCTTTCGCCCTCTTTCTCCCCGTCTTTCTTCTTCTTTCTTCGTACGTCTCTCATTCTTTACATCCTCCATTTTTGTTTTTTTTTTCTTTTTACGACTGTCCTCGTCCCGCTCGCGGCCAAGGATAGTCGATGAGCGGACTCGACAGGGGTTAATCGATCGCCGGCGATCGATGGTAAATCATGGCACGCGCCCCGGCGATCGATTGAGATAGATCGATCGTAAGTGCAGCTCGCGCGATCGTTACTCGGTACGCGGCTACGTCGGCCGCATCGACGATAAGGCACTACCGTGGAGAGAGAGAGAGAGAGAGAGAGAGAGAGTGAGAGGGGGGGGAGAGAGAGAGAGAGAGAGACGAACGTATAACGGTCACTCTCCGCGCGCGTAGCAGCCAACGACGAAGCCAGGGCCGAATTTACAACGGATCGGTACGTCCTTTCCACCTATGGACCGAGGACATTATGCAAATTAGCTCTCGCGCGCGAACGGCAAGATTGTATTTGTGTGAGGATGTTGCAATGGCAAGATTCTTGAAGATGCGACCGGGGAAGACGGGTTCGCGCTCACATATTTACGTAGGTGATCTTTTTTTAGATTCTACACTAGCGTGCCTCCTTGAGGCGTCTTCATCTTTATCTTCGTTTTCACCTTTATCTTCATTTCGCCTTACTCCTCATTTTCATCCTCACCTTCGTCTTCTCCGTTAGTACATCTTATATTGGCTTTTGTAATCTACTGACAATGCTGACAGTTTCGTGGTCGTAAATACGGCTCTTCGAAATACATTACTACTACTGTCTGTGTGTAATGGAGCACTTCTTAGATGGAGAACACTCGATTCGATTCAGTTCCGTTTGGTTCAGGTGTACATGTGTAAGGTTACGAGCGATTATCGTGGCAGAAAGTTTGCGACAAGTATGTAACGCCGAGCAGCAGTTGCTGTAAAGAAGGGCATAAATATTGCAAACAGTTCGACGACGAGTTTGGATTTAGATGATGCATTCTTAATTTCGATTACTGAAAATACTTCGCGGGGTCAACGTATTATGATACTTCGTGCTCAAAATTACATCAATGATGCTGCGTTAAGAGTGTTAGCATCTACCAGAAATATCAGGAAGTTGCAAATTTTTAAGGTCGATATAAGAATAAGTTTCAGCAATTGAAGTCGGTTCCGGAGTTAAATAACATCTCTTCATTTATTTTATTTACATTTTCTTAGACTTTGTTTAATCCCTTAAGTAGATTATTCTTTGCGAATTCCGAGATTTTTACAGGTTATGTTTATCAATAGATAATGACGACGTAATCGTTGCCTAAATAAGTTACCCGAACGTTTCTCGAATAGGAGCTCGTTTAAGATGCATTTTGAATTCTCTGATTGGCGCGAGAGTTTCGAATTGAATATAAAATAAGTTGACATATATATATACATGGGGGTTTTAGCGAAGAGGATAAAATGCTCAAGTGCGACTGAAACGGGCAGATCTAGAAACGGTTTTGCCGGATGTATATGTATATACATCTCTATGATAACACACACCTATATTTTCCCTACGTTTTCATTACTCCTCGCAATGTAATCCCGGCGACGCCGATAAACAATTAACGATTGCGGTATTAATCGGCCACGTTGCGATGCGGCTCGCCTCATTCCTCATCATCGCCGTTAGTCGTCGTCATTGTCGCCACTGCCGATGCACGCTGCTCATCATCGTCGTCGTCGTCGTCGTCGTCGTCGTCGTCGATCGGGATCGATCTCGCTCGGAGGAGAAATGAACTGAATTATTATTCCCCAGGGTTGATTTCCGATTACGTCCTCCGCGGGACACGACGACGGTACGCCTCGTCGTGTAACCAAAATAAACCTCGTGTGTACGTGCGCGGTCAGCGAACGAAGAAACAAGCGAAAAAAAAGGAAAAAAAAAAGGAAGGGGGAAGGAAGAAACCGCGAAAATATCGGACGAGGTCCAGCTCCCGCGCGAGATCATCGATCTCCTTTTTTTTCGCCGCCCTCCCCGCCCCGCCGGTTCTTATTAATAATCGATTCGAATTATCGATCGTACAGTCATCGCCGGTCATCGCTGTGTCCGCTCGCCTTCGCCCTGGCACACCGGTCCGTGTCTGCCTATATTCCGCTCCGCCTGGATGCACGACCACCGCCGCCGCCGCCGTCGCCGTCGCCATAGCGCGCCGCGCTCGCCGTTACGTAGTGCGTATGCGTCAGCACGTACAATATCTCTGCGTGCACACGTACTACGCGTCCGCGTTTCGCGTTGGCGTCCGTGTGTTTGGTTGTCGTGTGCGATGTGTACAATGCGCGCGACCGCGGAGCGCGAGGATGTGTTGCGACGGAGCAAGCGCGAGAAAGAGAAAACAAACGGAGAAAACGCATGTGTGCGGCGTACCTCTATGTGGTATACGTGCGTGCACGTGTGTGTGTGTGTGTGTGTGTGTGTGGGTGCACGGCACGGTGTGGGTGCATACGGTGACCCTGCCGCGCTGGATGAGTGGGTGGAAAATCAGGGGCGTAGCGAGGATCTTCGAGAATTCGGCGCACTCGGGAGAAATGCGCAGCTGTGCGTCTCGTCCAACATCAGGAGTAACATATTTCGCCGTGCGACTCTTGCGAGAAGAAGTTTGCGCTTCTCGTGAACGAAACGTTACCGTACGCCTTCGTACGTTTCTCTCCGAGTCTTTTATATCTGTTTTCCCCCCTTTCCTCTCGCACTTCTCTCTTTCTCGCGTGTACACCCGTTTTGTTTCAAACACGGAATACATTCGAAAGTGCGATCGAACGGAACGAATGTCGCGTTTTGGCCAAGTTTGTTGACTAATCGAAATCCGACTTCTTTCGCCAACATCTTATCACATTCTCTTTTTATCCTTCTTTTTGTACGTCTGATACTACGAATCTCTTATTATCGTCTGACTTTCATATCTAGTTTTATTATTACATAAAAACTTTACTACATGTACATTAAAAACTAAGAATTTCGAGCAATTATGTTATATCAATTATAGTTTCTATCATCTATTCTGTAATGAATAATACGAAATCTCATGTACCAGATTTTTTTACAATGTTCCACGCGATAATTCATAGACTTTCTCCTGATTAAATTTCCGAAATAGTCTTCGGGAAGCCACGATGAAATTCTACATATCAGACGTTCGCTCTTCTCTCTCTCTCGAGGG